ATGCTCCCCGGAAGCACCGGGAATGGGCAAGTCACCGGCGCCCTGATTGTAATTAGTTCTGTTCCTTCTCTGCCTTGTACTATAATATGAATTCCTTGAGGATAGCTCCGGGCCTGTCGGGAGGCTCTCGGTAGGACCTAGGTAAGAATTTATGGAAAGACTAACATAACATAAAAAAAAAAAATTTAAGTGCAATTTCTACTGAATGTGTATCACTTTTGCACTATGGTAATGTTGAAAACCTTTAAGTTGAATCATCCTAAATTGGGATCTATCAGTGTATACAATTATATTTGTCAATTATTCCTCAATAAAATTAGAAAAATAAAAAATAAAATAAAATAATCATTTTCTTTTGGCTTGTTTATACAAGAAAAAAAAAGAATTTGTGGAATGAAACAGTGCATGGAAGAGAGGCCCACGTGTCCACGGGGGATGAACGGATAAACAGAATGAGGAGTAAACCTACAACGGAATGTTATTTAGTCTTAAAGGGGCAGGGGATTCTGACACCTGCTACAACAAGGATGAGCCGTGAGGACAATTGTGCCAAGTGAAATCAGCCGGGGAGGGAAAGACAAACTGTTTGGTTCCACTTATACAGTTTCCAATTACTGGGATGGAAAGCAGGAAGGCAATTTCCAGGGACTGGGAGGAGCGAGGAACGGGAAGCTTTTTGAAAAATTGTCGGTTCGACTTTTTCCACTTTTCCCATTCTGACTTGGTTGTCCTGGAGTCAGGCTCCATATCTTTTCCCAAACTCTGGAAGCTCTGGTCACTGGAACACTGGTCAAGGGTGGCTGGAGCTGAGAGCCGCAGGACCAGATGACTTCCAACAGCCTGTCTGGTTTGAGCACAGACAGCTCTCAGGAATCGCCCCAAGGCTGACAATCGCCACTTCACAGTCTCTATCACCGGCAGCAGGTTTACTTGGAAGTGTCACCATCTGGGGACAGAGGAGCCATTTTTAATGAAAAAAAAATCTGAATTCCCAGAAATGACTCGTATTCCTTCCATGTTGCTTCTTTAGTTAGAGGTCGACCTCCGTCTCTGCCAGACACAGGAATTCCTGAGTCCTTCTGTTTCTCTGCACCAATTGACTCAAAGCAGCTTTCCTTGGCTGCCGTTTGATCGAATGGAACTATGCTCCACCCAGGGGGACAAAAGCCAAGAATGGGGACTTCTGCAAAGAAGCCACACTTGTGAATTTGAGGCTCCTTCCTGCGATGACCTGTATAGATGAGTTCTGCAGACATTTCTGGACGATGCCATCTTAATGCCTTTTTATTTCTCTATATTTATGCCAATAAAAATGCTGATTTGCACATCCAGGGTGAAATGTTTACTTTTGACTTTAAGGATCAAAAGTAGCTTCACACAGCCTGCTTCCAGACTTCTCTCTGCCCCTCCCCATTTTTCCTAACTTGGGGACACTTGGAAGCTGTGGTCTTTGAGACAGAGAAAGGGAAAGCAGCTGAGTCATAAACTCTTCCAAGGTCGCTTCAACTCTAATGTTCTGTCACTCTGCCCCTTCTAAACAAGGAGCTCTGTGAAAGTTTTAGCCTAGGGATTCTTGAGCCCAGCATGTAGTGTTTCCTGAACTGGATCTATATGCCTAAGGAACATAAAAATAATTTTGGAGGTTTGTGAGTTCTGTAGGAGACTCCATTGAGTCTTTGGTGATTACATAAGAATACATTCATGAAGACATATGGCAAATAGTGGGGACTCTGTGCACGTTCCTTTCTCTTTCCTGCCAGATTTTTTGTAGTGGAAAATTCTCTTGCTCTTCATCTCAGGGAGATATCTTTCCTCCTTCAGCCTTTGTCTGCCTCAGGTCCCACAGATGCTGCTAGGGCCAGAGGTAGAAGAATTTTACGAGGGAGTTGGATCGGGAACAGCACATTTTTGAGAAGGCCACAGCATTAAGTTAATGGAATTAAAGCACGATCCCCATGAACACCATCAGGTGCCCCATGAATTTTGACTGACATTGAAGTGCATAATGCAATAGCCTTTTTTCCTTTAAATGTATAACATATGGAGGAAGTCAGGTGGAAAATGGTTTCCTGGCACAACTTTGGAAGGGAAGCTGTGATGCAGTTGAAATGTCCTGTGCAGATTAGGGAACGGAGGGACCTTGGCATGAGAGACACCCCCCGACCCCGGCCCCAGAAGCCAGGAGCATGTCGTGTGTTAGCTCATGGAATCCTCACAAACCTTCACGAGTGAAGTGTTATTACCTCCCCTTTAAGGTGAGGAGGCTAAGGCTGGACCACTTTGCCTCAGTAGTGAGGTGGGAGCCTGACCTTGAGGTTCACACAGACCTGGGATCCAGCCAGCTTCCCTGTGACCTCGGATGCTTTGCTTAAGTTCACAGCCATCAAATGTCCTCATCCGTAAAATGGGACAATGGTGGTACCTCCCTGTGACAGAGGCCCTTTCTTCTCTAGAATCGAAACAGTGATTTTAGATGTGCAATGGCATCAAGGTTAAAGATTGCATTTCTCACCTTCCCTTGCAGCTAGGTGTGGCCTGTGACAACATTTTAGCAAATGAAATGAGAGCAAACAGAAAGAACATCTTCCAAGTACCCGTCCTTAGGAGGCAGCCCACATGCCCACCGCTGCTGCTGTTGTCCCTTCCTCTTCCTTCTTTCTTTTCCCTAGTTTTTTGTGCTGGCTGGAATGTAGTCATGATGGCTGGAACTGAAGCAGCCATTTTGGACAGAGCAGATGGGTCTCTCACATATGGAATGTCATAGAAATCCCAGATACTGGCCTTGAGATTGAGGTATGGGCAAGAAATAAAGTTTTCTCTTAAGTCCCTGCAATTTTAGATCTTACTAACTCAAATCAAATCCTGATACATTTGCTAATAGAAATGTTATGAGGTTAAATGAGATATGTATGTGAAATACATATATATTTAGCCCCCAATAAGTGTTACCTTCTGTTGTTATTGTTTTATTATTATCATTACTATTACTATTATTATTATTACCTCAGCCCACCCAGGGTGGGCTGGATGACTGATCTGGAATTCTGTCCTGTGGCTGTTTTACATCAAAGCCATTATATTTTTTTATTGTCTGATTCTTACTAAGGTGAGGGTGGATGCCATGCCCATCCAAAGCTGAGAGCAAGGAGACAATCATATTGTCTGTGGACAAGGGGATAAGCTGTGGTGTTACTCTCTGGCTTGTGTTTGCACCCTAGGTCTGACGCCTAGTAGCTGGGTGTTTCTCACCACCCCAGGCGTGGACATACTGACTCTGTGTGCCCTTCCAGGCCCTGTGAGGATGAGCCCCATTCCTAAGTTAGCCCAGGAGTTATGGGCCACACCTGCTTCTGTTGGCTACGGATGACTGCTCACAGCCAGGAAGTTCTGAGCAAGGGGCAGGAAAAGAAAGATAGGAAATATAATGCTGATGTGGAGCGAGCTCTTATTCTGTGCTGGGCACTGTTCTGAAAGGATTTACCGTGTGCTTTATTTAAGCCCAGAACATCTGTATTCAGTAGATTCTTTACAGATGAGGAAACAGAGGCAGAGCGAAGCTGAGGTGACTTTCCCAAGGACACACAGCGTAACTGGCAGCACCAGACAGTTCAGGCGGGCAGCCCAACTCAAGGGCTCTCCTCCTTGCCCTAAACAAAGGGGCTTTCTGACATTTCCTGCTCCAAAAAGAACAGGTGGGCAGGGTAGCTTCTGTTCAAAAGGCCAGTGCCACACTAATATTCTCTGATTCCTTGGCTTCTCAGCGAGGAGCCAGTTTGAGCTGGGAAGGCAGAAGACCCTCTGGAGGGCAGTGGGAAAGAAGCTCAGAAGGGATTGGAAAACTAGGGGTCTTTATTTCCCCCGGGTCATGTTGCCTGACTTGGTGCAGTACCTAGGATCCTCACTGCAAAGGCCGGAGTTTACCCCAATAATGATAACTGTGCGCTCCCAGGGGAGCACTCCCACTTCTTTGTCCCGAGGAAATGATGGGTTTCTGCGCACCCGTTACCAGAAACGCAAGGAGAGTTCCAATTGCTGTCTTCTCCAGCACCCCCTGGTCCCCTCATCCCTCCATCCCTTCTTCCCTGCCACGGGCTGTCTGGAGGGGACATGGACTTGGAACTGTTTCAGAGAGTTTTCTCCTTCTTCAGGCCAGCTTAGAATCTTCCAGTGATGGCTCAAAAAAAAAAAAAAAAAATCAGATGAGAACTTTTTTTTAAAAGATTTTATTTATTTATTTGAGAGAGAGAGAACACGAGTGAGGGGGAGGGGCAGAGGGAGAAGCAGGCTCCCCACTGAGCAGGGAGCCCAATGCAGGGCTTGATCCCAGGACCCCGGGATCATGACCTGAGCCGAAGGCAGACTCTTAACCGACCAAGCCACCAGGTGTCCCTAGATGACACCACTTTCATGCTTAAAACCACCCAACAGCTTCCCACTATCATTAGAGTAAAATCTGAAATAGGTTCTTTGGCCCAAGGGGTCTAAGTGATCTACCACCTGATTATTGTTTCTGACCTGATTTCTTAAGCCCTCTCTCACTTGTTCTTTTCGGCTGCAGCTATGTTGTGTGCCTCAGGGCCTTTGTACCTGCAGTACCCTCTGTCTGGAATGCTCTCCTTCTCATCATTCAGTCTCAGCTTAAATGGCCTCTCAGGGACACCTCTCCTGACCAGCCTCCCCAGTCGGCCATTGCTTCAGTAAACAATGCCGCCCCTCCCCACTGATTTTCTGAATACTTAGAATAATTTGCACTTATTTTGTTAACTAATCTGCTTGTTTGCCTACTGTCTGTCTCTCTAACCACAGTGAGCTCCAGGAGGGGCAGGGGCCTTGTGGGGTAGGGAGGGTATTGCTCGTCTCATAAAAAATGCTGTACAATTGGATGGAACGACGTTTCTGAACTACTTGGCACATAGTGCTTCTGGGTAATCATGCTTCCCAAATATGTTTGAAATCTAACCTTTCACGCTTTCTTTTATTTTCCACGTTTTATCCCTCAGACATAAAGACTGCCAAAAGATAGGGAAGGCATTCACAAAGGCATTTCTTATGAAGGATCCTTGCAGCAGCACAGAACAGGACTATCAGCTGCTAATGGAGCTGACAGATGAAGCTGTCCCTTGCGACAAGGTAAAGGGGGCAAGTGATTGATTTTTAAAATGGACGATAAAAGCCAAAGGAAGGGGTCACAGGACCACATTTTGACCAGAATGAGGGAAGAGGAAAATCTGGATGTTCGAATGTATGTGTGGTTGGCCGAGATGGAGTTTGTGGGGTTTTGGGGGGACTGGGATCTCATCAGGGTTTAGGATGTCTGGGGGAAGGACAGTAAGAGAGAGAAATGGGAACGGGGAAAGAGGAAGGAGACGTGGCCGACGATCAGGCAAAGCGAGCTTACCTGAAACCCAACCCAACCCAAACCAAACAAAAACGACCCAACCTTACATCATTGCCAAACTCTCCCCTGAGCCCCGACAATGATGATGTTAATAATGACTCACAGTCACCCTGCAAAATAAAGAGGTCAAGAATCAACATCCCCATTTTACCAGTAAGAAAACCTAGGCTTAGTGAGGTCAGGGGTCAGTGATGGCTCAGGTCTGATGGCCTCGAAAGTGACCGGCTGAAATGTTAATAGCACAGGATTAGGAGCCAAAGAGGCCTGGGTTTTATACATTGATTGTCCCGGAAAAGGTGTGTAATGTCTTGCGTAAAGTCCGCATTCAGGGTGAAAATTCAGCGTATGACCGGTCATCTTTGTGAAGCCCCAAGCCAGCCACATGTTACAGCCGCTCATCCTGGTGGCAGAGAGCTGGGATTAGGACGGAGCTCCCGCCTGGAGCACGGAGGGGCTGCTTGGTAAATGACCCCCAGTGACAAGTCTCGAGGCCACAGACACGGGACTAAGCACTTTATTTGCAATTGTCTCATCGCATCTCCTGAGTTCCTTACGGTTATTGGTTACCACCCATATCATTTTACAGATGGGGAAATCGAGGCATAGTGAGGCTTTGGCCGCCCGGCGTCAGACAACTGCAAGGGCTGATGAGGGCTTCCCTCCGGGGCCCACGCTTCCAGCCACGCCCTCCACAGTCTCCTGTCAAGAAGGCAGAGACCAGGGCGCCTGGGTGGCTCAGTTGGTTGGGCGACTGCCTTCGGCTCAGGTCATGATCCTGGAGTCCTGGGATCGAGTCCCGCGTCAGGCTCCCTGCTCAGCTGGGAGTCTGCTTCTCCCTCTGACCTCCCCTCTCTCATGCTCTCTCTCTCTCTCAAATAAATAAATAAAATCTTTAAAAAAAAAAGAAGGCATAGACCCACGGGCTCAAGATTGTTCTGAAATTTTACCTTCTCTACCTTTACAAGGGACTCTGAAGAAACTCACTGTATTTGGTTTTTTTCTCTTTCTTTTCTCTTTGTGGGGATAGGAGAGAGTTGGGGAAAGAAGCAGAGGTTACAGAGCCTGTGAAGAATCAAAGAGCACTTTTCCCAGAAAACAGCCCGGAGACAAAATGGTTTTGCAGATAACTTTAGGAATTTCCTAATATCTTCTCCAGATGTGTTCTGGTTCGGTGTTTATTGTAAGATTCTGATCAGTGGCTTTCGGACTTTTTTTTGCTGCCACCAAAAATAATAAGGCATTTCATATTATGACCTAGGAGACACACACACACACACACATGCACACGCACACACGCACACATGCACACCCTCTAACCATGCTCTCAGGTTCACACACAGAAAGCCCTGATGTGGTCAACAACACCCACCTTTACTCTCTATGATTTTCTCTGATATTTTGTTTTTCTTTAATTTAAAAAGACGTGGGTTTGTGTGTGTGTGTGTGTGTGTGTGTGTGTGTGAGACTTATTGAATTGCTCTCGATGACAGGCTGTGTTTTTCTTTCCTAGACCCTTTTCTGGAGCAAATCCAGCGAGCTGGCGCATGACTACACGCGGGTCCGGCGTGACATGTTCACGCTGGAGGACACACTGCTGGGCTACATGGCGGACGGCCTCAAGTGGTGTGGAGACCCAGGCTCTTCTGGTGAGGGTCAGGGCCTTTTGGGGTTGCCCAGGGACGTGTCGGGCAGACCAGTACCTGCCCTCATGCCATCCCCACCCTTAATGACAATCCAGGCTCATGTAAAATAGCATTCTTTAGATCAGCTCAGTTTTCTAGAAAAATCAACTTCAGAGTTTGGGCTTGTCCGTGTTCCCTGATCCCTCCTTCCTGAGAGCCGGTGTAGCTGCTTCTGGATTGGAGGTGTTCTATTTTCTCTGAGGCCGTTATTCAGGACTAAAGGGTGCTAGACCCGGATGCAGCCTGAGAGGAGCCAGGCCAAAGCCCTTGCTCCACAGAATGGCCGCGGCCACGACATCAGAGGGCTGGGCTCTTCCGTGTCTCAGGCCAGTGTGGGGCTTTGCTGGCATTTTTCAGAGGCCACCTTACCTTGGCCAGAAAGACTCAGAACGCCACACTGTGGGAAGGTTTTTTCTACTCAGAAAACTCTATTGAGCCCGTTTTCACTTCTTTTCTTTCTCTTTTTATTTATAGTGTGCATGTTTTTACTTTATATTGTTTTATTCTTATTTTTATTGCTTTTGGCTGTTTTTCTTTTAAAGATTTATTTATTTATTTGAGAGAGAGAGAGCACTAGGGGGAGGAGCAGAGAGAGAGAGAGAGAGAGAACCCTCAGGCAGACTCTCTGCTAAGGGTGGAGCCCAACTCGGGGCTTGATCCCAGGACCCCGAGATTTTGACTTGAGCCGAAATCAAGAGTCAGATGCTTAAGCGACTGAGCCACCCAGGCACCCCACTTTTGACTGTTTTAAAAAACTTATTATACGTGCTGCCGAAGCAAGCACTTAAAAAAACTTACTATAAAACTTCATCGCAAGCTTACATTATTTCCAATTACAAAAATGATGCATGCTTATTTGCAAAGTACTTGCATGTTATAGAAATGTATAAAAGTAAAAAATGAAGGTCACCCTGCCCCTCCCCCACTCCTCAGTTTCCATATCATTTCTCAAAAGGGGAATGTTGTCAACAATTCGGCACGAATCCTTCCACACATGGCCCCACACTCACATAAACACATATATTAAAATGTACACATACTATTCTGCAACTTTGCTTTATTCATTTAGAATTAGTAGATAGAAATACAGCCATATTGGGGTGCCTGGGTGGCCCAGTCGGTTGAGCGCCAGACTATTGGTTTGGGCTCAGGTCGTGATCTCAGAGTCATGAGACTGAGCCCCGGGTCAGGCTCCCCGCTCAGTGCAGTCTGCTTGGGTTTCTCTCTCCCTCTCCCTCTGCCCCTCCCTTCTGTGCTCGCTCTCTTTCTCTCCCTCTCTCTAAAATAAATAAATAAAATCTTAAAAAAAAAATACAGCCATATTTTTTAAAAGCCCTCATTTATTTCCTCTATGGATGTTATCATAACTTATTTAACCAATTTCCTATTGATGGACATTTAGGTTGAGATATTGCTATTGCAACTGTTGCAAGGAGCACTTGTGTATACAACACACACACACACACACTCACAAACACACACTCACACACACCACGGGCACATGTACATCTGCCTGCTTGGGGAAGTACTTCGGAAAGATAAATTTCTACGAATGAAATTTCAGTGCCGAACAAATTGCGGTAGAAACTGACACATTGTCATTCAAAAGGTGGTAACCATTTACACTCTCATCAGAATGTAGGTTACTTGTTTGCCCAAACTCTCACCAACACTGGTGCAACTTATAAAAATGTCTTTGCCAATTTGATAAAGAAATAATACCTTGACTTGTTTTGCTTTGCTCTGACAGTGAGGCTGATCATATTTATTTATTTAATGGTAGATATTTCTATTTCTTTTATAAACTGGCAGTTCGTATATCTCAGCCATTTTTATTGGGATGCCTGTTATTTTCTTATTTATAGATGTTCTGTATAAATTCAAAATAGTAGCTAATACTTATTGCTCACTTACAAAATCTCAGCCATTAGGGGCGCCTGGGTAGCTCAGTTGGTTAAGCGACCAACTCTTGATTTGGGCTCAGGTCATGATCTCAGGGTCGAGCCCTGGGATCAAGCCCTGTGATTGAGCCCCGCATCAGGCTCCATACTCAGTGTGGAGTCTGCTTGTCCCTCTCCCTCAGCACCTCCCCGCATTCATGATCTCTCTCTCTCAAATAAATAAAGTCTTAAAAAAAAAAAAGAGTCTCATGCTCTACCAACTGAGCCAGCCAGGAGCCCCTAAATTTTATAGTTTTTGCCATGTTTCCTGCTTTCGATTTTGAATTTCCCATTTTGCAAGTCAGCTTTTCTTAGTCATTCATTTAATTCTTTTAGGTTTTAAAGTTGTTTACCATAAAACCTTCTCATTTTAGCTTTATTTTTCAATTCTAAATCATGTACTCTCTGAAAGCAGGGCTTCTATCTGATTCATCTCTTTCTCCCCAGGACCTAACACTCAATTAAGGTTTGTGTAGTCAAGTGCAATGAGTAAAAAAACAAAAAGTATGTACACATATACACACACTTACCTATATACACACACCATGGAATATTATTCATTCTTTTTTAAAAAAGAAAATCCTTGGGGTGCCTGGGTGGCTCAGTCGTTAAGCGTCTGCCGTCAGCTGAGGTCATGATCCCGGGGTCCTGGGATCGAG